ACATAATGGCACCTAACAACTACTCCAACAACAAATTAAAATGAATATACATGTAGGAATAGATCACCTTAGTAAAACAGGAACTTCCTGTACTTGTTTCCCACTGAAACACTGATATTCTAAATGGTTCATTGACTTTCCTATAGTCTAACACAATGACTTAGGTGACACTGCATTCTAGTTTTTGTTTACTTTCCAGATCAGAATTATCTATAGCAGTCACCACAAAGTTAACTCCAACTCATGGTGACCCATTTGTGTCAGAGTAGAACTGTGCTCTATAGAGTTTTCAATGGTTTATTTTTCAGAGTAGCAGTTGCAAAAGAATGAATTCTATGGAGAGACATTAAAGAAGAGTACAGAAATCTTTGCATGTAATTTTTATGGTGAAAAATAGCTATTTCCTTAGGATTGATATGTTTTAAGAAACTTTTCTTCCCCAATTAATTTTTCAGTTGAACTCAAAATACAATTTAGGTTAAGTTAACCTTAAACTTTTCATACTTATTAGCTAATTTAGCTTGCATCCCATATGCCATTTTTTTGGATATATTGAACCAGAGCTTGCCTTATTTAGTTTACTTCATTGACTTTTATTATTTTTATTTTTTATTACCTTTTTATCAGCTGTTAACCAAAATGTACTGGCTGTTTAAGACCACTCAGAGGAGTATCCAAAGAAAGGTCTGGCAGTCTACTTCTAAAAAAAACCAATCAGGTACCCGGGAAGGTAGAATCTCCACTAAGTGGTTTCCAACCTGTCTGGACAGGGCTGGTGAAAGGAAATGGGGATAAGACTCTTGTGGTTCAATAGTGGATACTTGCTATCAGGACTGATTGTGAGTGTTGCAAATGTAAAGGTAGAAGTTTTGTAACAAAAGTTGGGGAGCGGAGTTTGGGACTCTATCCAGAGAAGCAGTGACACCAGAGATGGAGGCAGAGATGATGACATAGAGAGATGGAGTGGCTGGGGACCCTGGACTCAGGGAGGGAGAGGGGCTGCATGCTGATGGCCAGGGGGAGGGAAGGGTTTGCAGGGTGTGCCCTTTGGTTGTTTAAATGGTTATATATTCCTGAGTGCTTCGGTGTACAACAAAAAAACAAAATAAAACAAAAAAAACACACAGAAGGAATGGAAGCAAATGCTGTTGAATGGTGATGCATGGAAAGGATTGTAATCATTGCAATGAAATGAAATACAATAGGATGAATGTAAAGCTGATGTTCTCCAATGTAAACTATCACCCAATTCACAATGAAAACTTAAAAAACAAAAAATTTCACTGAGAACCCTACGGAACACAATCCTATTCTCACACACACAGAACTTCCATGAGTGAAATTGATTTCATAGCATCTGACTTGTATGCCTATGTTAATTGGAGTTTTCACACAACACTTGAGGAGACACCACCAAGGCAGTTTCTCAAAATTTTGCCTCTTTCATGTATAGTAAGCGACAGAGATTAAATCAAACAGAATCACATCAAATTTAAGATCCCTAATCCAGTCTCTTCCTAGGTATGAAAAAATACAATGGAAACTGAGGCAATATGAATCCACTGAGAATCACAGTAAAATCAGCTCCAACTCAATTTGCCTCCTGGGAACAAAGGGCTGGGAACGGGGGAGGTAGTAGATGATCTCGCAAATATTATAGAAGAGAAGGTAGACTTTGCTTCTCATTGAGGCAAAGCTCTACCTTTAACCGAAGTCCAGATTATTTAGGGAGGTTTGGACTAAGATAAGTTATTTCATTTATTTTAAATTTGAACTGCTGCTTTGATTTGATATAGCCATATATGACATAGCCATATAAATATGAATGAGACAATTAATAATGGATATAAGAGAACAGTTAGTGATACAATAGGTAGAAATATCACCACATTCAATAGTACTTACTGACAGTGAATTATGTTGACCGTCATTTTAGATGACTTAACATCATATGAGTGAGATATAAATATAGTAGTTATAAACAGAAGGATGTTTACCTGTGCTTTA